TTATTTTGATCCGAACCACGTTAAATCTTGTGTTCTTTCTTTTACGTTTCCGCTAACACTTTTAAACCCTTCAAAGCACCTGGACCAGATGGCTTACACCCTTTCTTTTATCAACACAACTGGACAGAAGTGGGACCGAAAGTCGTTGCTTTCAGTCACCAAATATTCTCAACTTTTCAAAATTCCTGAAACTATTAACCAAACTTATGTATGTCTCATTCCAAAAGTTCATAATGCATCCATGATTACTTAATATCGCCCTATTGGCCTATGTTCCACAATCTATAAGATAATTACAAGACTTTTAGTACAACGTATTAAACCTCTACTACCTACCCTCATCAGCCCTACCCAGACTAGCTTCCAACAACATAGACGAGCGGCTGATAATGCCATCATTGTACAGGAAATTCTTCAACACTTTCAGAAGAAATCAGGTAAAACTCCTAAAAATATGCAAACAAATGACTGCAGGATTTAGTGTTTCGGTGGTGATTGAGTAAATAGCATACCTCATGCGGACATCTACATCAGCATCTGAATATGTATCGCTGCTAGAATCTGCAAAATCTTCGGCTTCCATGAGCACTGCAGTCAATTGATGCAGGATGCTGGGTGCCCACAGCACTAATAAAAACAAGTTACATATTAAAAAAGGCCTTTAAGCATGCTTCGTCTAGCAGAAAAATATATTCCTTTTTTTTTTTGCCTTACGAGATTTCAGAAAGAAGAAGAAACCACAACTAAAGCTCTTTATTGTTTTGGAATTATCTGTGAGATTTGAATTAGAGATTGAGATCAGAGTTCAGAATGACCATGAAACTGACTGAAACAACTTTTTTTAAACAGGTAAAGATTTTTTAAATGTCAGCAACCAAACACTAAGACAGTGTTTGTGGAATACATGTTCCGGGATCCCCTTATACAAAAACAAAAAGAGAGGAATCCATCTGTACAGAGGAAACAAAACATATTCCTATAGTGAATTGATGTAGTCTAGCATGCTTTCATCATTTACAATCTTGTATGTTGCACCCAAAAAGCCAAAAACCATAGACATCTGAACTTTAAAAACTGTAGAAGGTTCGGTTTTCCTTCAGAACACCTGGAATTCATTTCTCCCCACAAGATCCAACACATGCAAGCTGGCTCTGTGTTCCATATTCTTTTCAGTGATTTACTGATCCCTTCACTGCCCTAGCTGTTCAGCACTTCCTTCACTTTTTTGGCTAACAAATGACAGGTTGAACAAGTTGAAAAAAGAGTTCAAGAGTGGTCTAGCTACTATGCAGTTAGAAACAGATGGCTGCTGCTCGCCTCCTCATTACACAAATATCATCTACTGCATAATTGGGGCATAAATCTACACAAATCGTAAAAGAAGTTAGCTAAAAGGCTAACTTATCAACTCCACCAAACTTAAACTTTTGTTTGTTCTCAAGCAAATCAAACTACAAGCAATACTTCTCAAGAACTCTAGTACTCAGGTAAACAGTCCAAATAAAGCAACCAAACCAAGAAGCAAAAAGCAGGAAACTTAAGACTTCGGTTGGCACCAACAATTATACTCAAATGCATGGACCTTCAACAACTTCCAAAGATCTCACTTTCCAAAACCAACACACAAGCACCAAGCTAGTCAAGAAGTCAAGCCATGACACAAAAGCTTCTAAAGTTACCTCTAATTCACAAGGCCACTTTCTTTTGTTCATGCATCTCTGATTGAGAAAGAAACATCAATCACACCAGAGTTTCCATGTGCCCTCACAAAACAAGAGATGTTCCCACACACACTATGTGATATTTTCACAATTAATGTAGGTCCACCTAGTTCAAAATCATTTAGGACTTGCGGGAATATAATGTAGGCTTTTGGTTAGAGCTAGGACATTAATATAGGTAATGACCAATGAGTGACTACAACCTTCCTAAGCACTACAATTTCAATACTTCAAAACACTTTTCTTTTTAAAATTCCACTCTTTATGCTCCCTTTTCAACTTTATCACCATGTCAACCCTTTTATTTCACAACTCTCTCTCTGTTTTATATCCATTTTTTTTTTTTTTTTCAAAGCTACTTTTTTCCCATTTTATATTTTTCAAAACTTATTCACACTTCGTCTTCATGAACCGAGGGTCTTTCGGAAACAGCCTCTCCACCCCCTCGGGGTAGGGGTAAGGTCTGCGTACACACTACCCTCTCCAGACCCCACTAGTGGGATTTCACTAGGTCGTTGTTATTGTTGTTGTATTCACACTTCGTCTTCACTTTTACCTTCAAATCAACTTCATTCAACTACCACAATACATTTTTCCCATTTCCTCCCCAAAACTTAGGCTAAAAGCCTAAATTATAGCTTCAAGAAGGTCGGAGCATCAAAAGGGGTTAATACAAAAGGGGAAAGGCTTGTAATGTGGTTGCCAATGAAAAGGCTAAAGGCTCGGGGGGGGGGGGGGTGACTAAGGTAATCACACAAAGGGTAGACAATTTAAGGCACAAACGGTCCAAAGAAAGCCAAAAATCATTTTCTAAACCAAGTGCAACCTAGGATTTCGCCTCCAAACACACTTGGGGCAAGTTCTAGACCATAATTGACACAAAAGAACTCAACAGAACCTCACCTCACATGCCACATCAAAACTCAAGAAAGATGTATGTATCTAAAGACTAAAGCCCAATTAAAGCACACGAACTCAAAAATTTGCCATAGCCTATACACTATATAGTGAAATCTAAAGCTATATGTGGAACCTAAAAATCATGGCAAGATTAATCAACTCGACTACTCTTCAAAATTTTCAAAAGCGTGCATTTCATGCAAAATTATTTCTAAGCCATAGTGGTTAGAAAACTCATACATGCTTGGAGGAACTAAAGTAGCAGAAATGTCATGTAGAGGAGTTTCAAACCTTAGTACTTTTTTTTAAACCTCAAAAAAGCAAAGATTTTTGTTACTTAATTTATCTATACTGCTCAAGGCTGATTTTGTTACAATGTATTATTCTTTCTGAATGTTGTCCATGTTCTATTCATCCATCTTACTATTCCACACATTTCGAACTACTTGGAAGTTGGAACATGGCTCCACATAAATATTTTGCCGCACAACAAGTCTGGTGAATTGCCTAAAAGGAACTTCAAGAACTGAAATATGGAGTTTAAATGATTAATTACTTGATCCTGCCACATGATTGAGAAAATTTTGGGATTATAAATATATGCAACCTAATGGCTGCAGGATTTAATGTTTAGATGGTTATCTAGTAAATAGCATACCTCATATAGTCATCAACATCAGCATCTGAATACTTTGAATCAATGTCTGCACCAAATCTTGAGCTTCAATGACTTTCTCCAGCAATGCAGCCAGATGCTGGGGGAGTAAGAGCAGCACTGCATACCAGACATTTCAACTCCCAACATATTTTTCTTCACAAAGCTTCGTTACTTATACATAAGTGCAACATAATTTTTTGCATGCTCTGCAATATGACTGCACAGAACACGTCATCTTCAGTAGAATGGAGAGCAACAGACATCCTGTACAAAGTAACTTAACAAGAGGGTGAGACACCACAGCGAATGAATCAAATTAATTGATAAGGGCATGCAAAGCCAGGAATTTTAACAACTGAAGGAATTCATCATTTATGCTAGGGTGCTTACAAAGAATGACACCCACCATGACCACTCTAAAAGAAGGGACAAAGAAAGAGAAAAAGCATAGAATTTTTGTCACAAGCATATAATTGCTCCATCAAGCAGGAATACATATCCTTTTTTTATCCTTCTGATAGTTTAGATAAAAAATAAACCATGTAAAGCTCAACTCTTTTTTTCTTTTTCGACAAAGGTAAAGGTCAACTCATTTTTGGGAATCGTTTATCAGATTCTGATTTACAGATCAAAAGAGGGTGTTTACAATGATGATAAAAAACTAAGATAGACAGGAAAAATCAACAAAACAATTTGACAGATAAAAGAACAACTTATACCAACACGTGGGACTCTCATTCTGCAATCACTGCTTCCTGCTCCTATTTGAAGGTTTGTCATTGGGTCAACAACAGCAATTTCCAACTTGACTGACCAATTTAAATGCAAAGAGAAACCAGGTTACAGTTGACAGTGCAGATTAAGATTTAGAAAAATTAAAAAGAACAAACCCAAAATGTACCTTATCTCCATAAGAGTTTGTGCCAACTTTGTCCTAACATCTGCCTCCACTTTGGCTATTGAAGAAGTTCATTTGCTCAACTGGCCCGTGTCAATGCATGTGATCTTCCAACCACTGTATCTTGATTAATTTTGGAGTTCAAGTATGCTAATAGAATAAGTAACACTGCAATCTTTCTAAAGGAATCTCAGTTTTGTAATTTTCCATCTATTTCACGCATAAGCAACACGGAATTGTCAAGCACACGCCTGCTTTCATAGATGATAGACCGGAACAATTCATGCTGAGGTTCTGGCTTATAGAAGCCTAGTTCGACAAGGGGATTTTTGATCTGTGATCTCTCGTACAACTCCTTTGCTGGCTGGACGTGCTTCCACCAGAAGTCAGAAAGTGCAATCTTCAAGAGCTTCCAATATTCTTCGTCACGATGCAACCTAAACAAACTGCTTCCTTTGGTAGTCCAAACATAAAAGTCCATCCAATCTCGATCCAATATTTCCATTAAACCCTGTGCTTGTGGAACATAAAAGATCGGAATTCTTTTCCAAGGAGTTGCAGCACTCATATCGCCTTTGAAGAAAGGGCATTTGATCTCCAAAACCCCTCTCGATGGCAAATGATAAACAAACTTGTCAACCACGCCATCAGGGGAAGCTGCAAGCCAGTCATCCTCTCTCTTCATTTCCCGATATACCTGAAAATCAGTAAAAGAGACAGGATTTCCAGTTATCAGCTTATACCTCTCAAGAGCCTCCTCTTCTTTGATGTTACTCCAACACGTAGCTAAATTCCCCGAGAAGGGTTCAATCGCCCCGATTTTCTCCAACCAGAGTTGGGGTCTGCGCTTAGGAAAAAAACCAACAGCTTGACTAAAAGTGCTAGCTGTAAGTTTATTCTTTCTCAATTCTTGCCAATTCTTGAACCAATGCTGAAGACCACAGGATCGAAGAATTGGATGAGCGTCGGGTGAGGAAAATCTCGAAGAAAGTCCAGCACTACTGCTGTTGTACCATCTTCTATACCTAGGAATTTGAGAAAGAAAAACTGCTATCTTCTTGGTTTTGCTATAGCAATTCTCATTTGATGAACATCCAAAACTGAAAGTGGCATAACGCATGACCTTCACTGCAGAATAAGAAAATGCTCAACTTTTCAGTTATTCAGCATATCACCATACTTAAATGCGGGAAAGAGAAACTTACGAATTATTTCCACTGATTCTCTAAATAAAGGGTTTATTTTAAAAAAATAAAAAAAGGTTCTCTATTCGAAGGGCAGGCAGGTTTTTTCGGGTTCTATGCAGAAAATGAGCTTCAACAACTATAGGTAATTTTCATATTTTCCACTTCAGACAAAACCCACAAGGAAAATTTACAGACACTGTCCAACAGACACCCTCTATATCAAGAAATAAATAAACAAGTATAGGAAATGAATAAAACTCCAGGGGAAAAAATGGAAGATATAATAAACAGTCGAGCTCATGGACTCACCTTTGCCAGGCCCAACACAGTAGAAAGCTGCTAACAATATTAAGCACAGCGGAAGTGGCTGAGAGTTGTATCAAGAAAGTGGGAGGAGAATTAAGAAGGGTTTAAGGACCAATCAAAAAAGTAAGAAGAGTTTATTTAAGAAGATGTTTGGTGTGAAGGTAAGGAAGAGGGCTAGGGAAGGGTTTAAGAGATTTCTTTTTTAATTTCTTTTGTTTAGTATACGTGGATAATACTTTGAGAATTGCCAAAAAATGGTCCCTCATGTTTGAAGTTGGTCAAAAATTGTTCTTTAATATACTCATGAGCAATTTTAGTCTTTTTAAGGGTAATTAAAGAATTTTTGTTTTATCTCCATTAAATATTAAACGAAGTATGGTTGTTAGATTTATTGAAACTTTATTTCGATTATTTTAGTTCAGATTATTTAGTATTTTGAATTGCTTATAACTTTTTATTTATAAAATAAAAAAGTAATAAATAAAAGAAAAAATAATAAGGAAGAGTAAGATTTTTTCAGGGAATAATTGGCTTGCATAATATGAATTCCAAATATTCATGATCTGGAACATGACTTAGCCCTCGGTCTATTAGCGAACCATCTTTACCGGGATTGTGAAAGATGTCCTTGGGTCGTTTCAATTAGGGGTTGGATGTTCTTACATATAACGAGTTAGATAATCTGTAACAAATTCTTTATCTACTTTTAGAAAATTAAAAGACAAGAGTGTATGGGGTAAAATTGATAGCGACAGGTGGATGAATGACGAGATGACATGTGGAATTGGAGACAGGTAAGAGATGAGTCAGCGAATAGTTGGCACCGGATACAAATATGTGATCGGTGCTGAATAAATTCCACAAGGCATAGGAACCGAGAATGAAGATTTGAAAGGAAGACATTAGCTGGAAAAGACAACATTCAATGAGCAACTGTTACAAAGAATCTCTATGTTAATGATCAGTCGTCATGTAGGTATCAAGAGGGGTTTTATTCTCATTAAATAAGAGCTTGATTTGGGGATCTTGTCTCCCATAATAGAGCTATAAATAGGAATATTTGTATCCATAGTTGGACACGAAAAATTATTTGTACTCATAAGGCTTTAATTCGCTCTTACTATATAAAATTACTCTCTTTCTTTTTGTTCTTACATTGCTCTTAATACTGCTTTCGGAGAAGCTACGTCTATAGCTAGGCTTATACTTTCTTCAAGTTATTTTAATAATCTTATTTATGTTCTTTTATTTTTATATTCTTGGATCAAACTAATTTACGTGTCTATAAATCATGTTACAAATTCAACTGTACCGTTTTACGGGCTAATAGTTTGGCGCCCATCATGGGGCCAAATTGTATAATTACTTTGATCTATTTATCTGTTACTAACGCATTTTGATTCTTTTCGCTATTAAAAGAAAAATTAAGTATGGCAGCTAATGATGTGAACAACTCTTACAATGGTGGAACAAACAACGAGGATGTGTTCCATTTTGATGTTTCAACAAGTGAAACTCACAACAAAGGGAATGCAACAACTCTGATACATGGAGAAAAGATCCTTAGAAAGTGAGAAGCCCAACTCCTGACGATATGGACGATGAACAAGTGGTTGAGACAGTTAAAATTTTAAGGGAATAACAAAGGGAAATTATGAATCACTTCTTAAGATAGAACGTGCGATGACGGAATTGAAGCAGGCGCTTTCGATTGCTTCCAATAACTCCAATGGAGGAGTTTAGATTCCTCCAAACATCCCCACAATTCAAACAGTTCAAAGGACCGGTAACGATGTTCCGAGGAGGAGTTTGATTTTAATGAGGCAGCTGGTACTGGTAGTGGATTCCAGAATGACATCAATGTTAATTATCCTTTCAAAATCGAGCTCATAAAATTCACGAGGGAAATGAATGAATGAAAAGATCAAAATGCTAAGAAATTTCATGCTCAGATGGATCAGATCCTGAGGGCACCACCAATGTTAAAGAGACCAGATTCAAAGAAGTATACACAATTGTCGTTCAAACCAAGTGCGGACTCGAAATTAATTCCAAAAATATTTAAGATGCCTGAATACAGAAGTATGATGGGACTTTGGAACCATTAGAGCATATCACAACTTATACTTCGGTAGTAAAGGGAAATGACTTGACCCCGCACAAGATCGAATCAGTTTTGTTGAAATTTTTTGGCGAAACCCTAATGAGAGGTGTTTTAACTTGGTAATCTCTTTTACCTGAGAATTTAATTGATTCTTTTGCAATACTTGCAAATTTTTTCATTAAAGCTCATGTAGGGGCAAGAAAGGTCCAAGCTAGAAAGGTAGATGTATTCAGAATCGCCCAAGGAGAACCGAACTATTGTGAGAATTCATGATCCGATTTCAGAAGAAAAGGATGTTGTTGTCGTCGGTACCGGACGAGTGGGTAGCTGAAGTGTTTACCAAGGGTCTCAATCTATTGAGCTCTGATGCCTATAGGAAGTTGAAGGAAAGCTTATTAGAATTTCAAGCAACCACATGGGCAGACAATCGTTATGAATCAAAGATTAGAATAGAAGATGATCAACTAAGTTAATTGGTGTCTTCCAAAGGACGTAATCATGTTCGAAATCAAGAGAAGATCAAAACTAATTTTGATGCAGATTGGAGACCTTCCAAGAGCCGTTTTCAGCCGTACGAAAGAGTTAATGGGTGTGGGAGTAAAGGATTTCAGTCACCGGAGATGTTTATTTTCGATAGAAGCAGTGATCGTGGTCTGAATAGCAGAACTTTACATGAGAATGAATCATCGGGATCCCATCATTCAACATACCCCCAGTTATCCAACTATAACTTCAATATCAGTTAGTTGAGCTAATTTCGGCTATGAGAAATATTAAGGAGGCAAGATTTCTGAAACCAATTCGATCGGATCCTAATCAAAGCGATCCTAATATATGGTGTGAATTCCATGGAACACATGGACATAGAACTGGGGACTGCCGGCACCTTCGTGAAGAGGTTGCAGCGCTACTGAAGAATGGTCACCTTAGAGAATTTCTAAGTGATCGGGCCAAGAATAATTATGAAAAAAATTGAGATGTTGCGGAACCATCAATACCCGCTGCAGGTTCACCTCGCTTGACGATAAACATGATCTTTGGCGGTGACAAAGTAAATGGTTTAACATTTTCAGCAGCAAAGAAGACAAAGATATCGATAGCTCATGACAAAAGAATCCGAAAAGCTTCAGAAGATGATGAAATCACCTTCACATAAAAGGATGCTGATGGCCTTCTTTTACCACACAATGATGCTCTAGTAATACTGGTTAATGTTTTTAAATTTCAAAATTAAACATGTGTTGGTTGATTCAGGTAGTTCAATCAACATCATTCAATAGAGAGTTTTGGAACAAGTAAAGTTAGCCGAAAACATAGTTCCGGCAACAAAGCTTCTGGCCGGGTTCAACCTAACAAGTGTAACGACCCGGGAGAGACTTTACTGCCCGATGCCGAAAGCATATATAATGCTGGAATAACAAAATAATGAGCATAGTAAAAAAAGTAATTAGAATAATTTTTTACTAATAATAATTTTAGGATTAACAAAATTCAAAAATTTATTTACACAATTCAGAAAGAAAAAAAGTAAAGGTTGTAAAATATATATTTCATGCACGTAATATAAAAATAATTATTTAAATAAAGATATTTTTACAATATACATTATATATTCTTTAAAATTATGTTCAATTATATTATATATATTCCACACACGACTTAACATAGCATATTTTACCCTATACAGATAGTCCCCCTACTTTTCGGTGACATAACTTTGTGTCGTCAAAAAGTTGGTAGAATCATAATAATATAATTGAGATAATTTTCAAGAATATATAATGTATATTACAAAAATAGCTTTATTAAAATAATTATTTTTATATTACGTGCATGGAATATATATTTTACAACCTTTATTTTCTTTCATTCTAAATTGTGTAAATAAATTTTTGAATTTTTGTTGTTAATACTAAAAAGTTTTTTTTTAAAAAAAAGAAGAATATAAATGTTTATAATTTAGATGGTAAAATAGGTATTTAGCAATCCAAAATTTTAAAAATCTAGTTGAGTGATTTTCTGAGTGCAAAAAGCATAGTTCAATGACTTTATTGTTACAAACGAAAGAAAAGTGATTTTAGGAAATAATTTAGAATAGTTGAGTGACCATTTAAGTAATTGACTCGTAATCTGTATTGTATACGAACAAAGCTCCGGGAAGAAAATTGGAAGTAGAAACATCACTTAACTCAATATAAATATTCAAAAAAAAAATCAGCATATTCAATTCATATATTAATAATATTTAATTTATAAAATTCGATTTAATACTCAATTTACAATTAAGCATTCAATACGTGTACATTGATATTTAAAAAAAAAATAACAGCAATATTCAAGATGATACTAGTACTTTTGAGATGAAGTGTTACACGAATTTGGAGAACTTGTTCGGCGAAAATGGGGCATTTGCATCTATACCTGTTTTTTGTGTTACATTTTAACTTGTGCCCGCTATGCAAAAAAAATTGCAAGCGTACCCATTTTTTCGCATAACTTTAGCACACGGGGCTGAAGTAGCAAAGACAATCACGCAAAACTTCAGCATTCTAGTAGTCGGGCCTGAAGTTCAGCTCTAGAGCTGAAGTTTTTGTTTTGTAACTGGCGAACTTCAGCTCTAGTTTTTGTGTTGTAGCTCTAGAGCTGAAGTTGTTGTGTTGTAACTGGAAACTTCAGCTCTAGTTTGTGTTGTAACTGGGAAAGAGCTAAAGTTTTTGTGTTGTAACTGGGAAACTTCAGCTCTAGTTTGTGTTGTAACTGGGAAACTTCAGCTCTAGAGCTGAAGTTTTTATGTTGTAACTGGGAAACTTAGTTTTTGTGTTGTAACTGGGAAACTTCAGCTCTAGAGCTGAAGTTTTTGTCTTTGTAACTGATAGAGCTGAAGTTTTTGTCTTTGTAACTGGCGAACTTCAGCTCTAGAGCTGAAGTTTTTGTTAATTTGCTGTATTTGTCAATTATAATTTTCTAGCTGTATTTTTATTGTTTTGCCTTAGTTGTAGCTAGTGACTGTTAGCTGAAGTGGACTAGAATGAGCAAGTTATGTTTTTAAGAAAGCCACAAGA